CCACAGTTGAATCCACCATAGCATGTCCACGGAGGCATATCATTCCCATTCCCTTCGTGTTCCTTTGGTGAAGAGCAAGTTCCACTGAGACAACTTCTTCTCCAGAACTATTACTTTATGGAATAAACTCCCGATAGGATACTTCCCTGACCACTGCAATCTTAACAACACAGTCAATAGATATCTATCCTAGACATCCTTATAATATGCACTTCTTAATTCCTACTCCATTACATGAATCTCACTCAGTAGCCCTGTAGCCTGAGTGGCTCTTGAGACTTGTATTGGTTGAACTAAAGTAAAATAAAATAACTACTCCGATGACTATTTCTCATTCACGCCGCCATTTTAATTTCGATTGGATATTCTGTAATACAGACTAAATTAAAATACATCACAAACAATATAAAAATAAGAATATGTCACAAAACAGGTTGTATCGTACACTGATGTAAAAATGATATTAAACGCTAACGTTTGTAGCACAAACATGACGGTTCAAATTTCAGGGCTATGAAAACGTATATATACGACGACAGCAGTCAATGTATGTTTTGTTAAGACGTTTAAGTACATCCACAGAAGCGGAAAATAGTCATGGCTACCAGACAATTTCTGTGATCACATCACCTCTTACATATCGCCACCTAACTCTCCAGATTTCACCCCCTTGATTATTATGTATAAGGCATAGTTGAGTGAGAGACTAACAAAATCCCTTGCAACACCAATGATGAATTGAAGGCAAGAATTATGGCAGTATTCACCAACTTAAAGGAGACCGTCCAGAAGAGTTGCAAGAGATTCCGAAGTCGTCTAGAGGCAGTGGTTGAAGACAATGGCGATTTTATTGAATAAATTTGCTCTTTAGTATTTTTTTTTTGTAATTTAGATAAATATATCTGTTAAAATGAGATATCTTTGTTATTTTCATTTTTGCTTAATTTAGACGACAATATATCAATCGCACTCTGTATATTTCCTTCTGGGGTTAACATGGTACTCATATGTGTATACATGTATGTATGTATGTATGTGTGTATGTATGCATGCATGCATGTATGTATGTATGTAGGTATGTATGTATGCATGCATGTATGTGTTCGATGAAAATCACGTTTCAAATTTATCCACCATCAACGCACATGAATGTCCAGCTGTGACACTGACGCTCATTTTTTCTTCTCCTGGAACACGCTGTTGAATTTTGACATTGTTTGTTTTCCTTCTTTTCCGAACAAAAACTTCTTTAAGTGGCGCTGACATTTAGCTAAGCCGCCTTTATGCGCCCGGTTCGTAGGTATTACAGACACGTATTCTTGCCCCAGCTGGCCAAAACAAGAAGAACGTTGAGCGTCGGCAGACGTTTATTCAAGGCTCGTATCCCGAAAATGGCTTAACTATTTTGCATCTCATATCCCGAAAATGGCTTAACTATTTTCAAAGTTCCTTTAAACTGATATTAAAAAAATATTCTGTTAACATTGCATAGGGTTTTTTTATTTATTTATTTATTTTTGAATGTCGTGTCCTTTTAGGACGAAAGCGATTACAACTCTCCATATATTTTTCTTTATTACTTGTGAATTACAATGCATTCTTGAGAAAGAGGAGTGGTTTCCTGTTAACTTCTTCATGGTTTGGAATTCAGAGTTTTCCTTCTCTTAGGCCACTCAAGGATAGAGAGCATAGGCTATCCTGTTATTTAACCCATAGTTGGGGAGATGAGAAGAAACGGACTAATGTTTTTTCCGAAGAGCAGCTATTCGATTGTGAAAGCAACAGAGAAAGCCGGAATGTGAGCTCGTCTAACCGATTATATTCCCTGCACGGTTAACCGTTACACTATGAGCATAACCTAATATGAGTTGGCAACAGCTTTTATTTCTATTGCGTGGGAAGATACGGTAGTTATGGGAATGTGGTTGCCCAAGAACTAGCTAACTCTCTCTTTTCTGTGTTGAGCACTGTGACATGCCAGTGATGAGAGGTTTTGTCAATATATCTGGTGATAAATTAGCATATGGTAACGATTACCCCATACCACATCTGACTTTATTTTTACGTTCTATTGTGAAGTTAAATGCCTGAAATTTTTATAAATCAGACTGGGAAAAAAAGAAAATTGTCTGATAAAAAAAAAAAAAAAAAAGAAATTAAAAAAAAAAAACTTTGTGACTTTAGGGACAGGAAATTGATTATATATATATATATATATATATATATATATATATATATATATATATACTAAAGTTCACTCAATACAAGGCCCAAGAGCCTTTAGAGGTAGAAGGTCAGTGAATGAAGTGTGTGATAGGAAAATAAAAGGTGGAAGTGAAGATTACGAGGATATGGCGGATAAATAAAGATTGACTCTGGATTGAAGATGCTAATAGATTGTAAGGTTCTGGGAAGCATCCACGCAAGAGTTTGTTTCACAAAGTAGAGCTTCTTGTGAATAAACTTTCGAAGTGGAACTCTCTTCTTACCAAAAGACTACGTAGGGAATGAGAGTGAATCAATCATGTGAACGTAGCAAGGCTCATCTTGGTTGCATAAGTCTGAACTGGGGACACTAAAACATAGTACTCATCTGAACATTTGTTATGGAAATAGCGACGAAGCAGGTCTGAGGACGTTTTACTTTGTCTTGAAGTTAGATATATTCCTTTCAATATGAGTTTGTCGAGACAGAACTTAATCTAAGAATGGGTCGTAAGAACACAGGATTTATCTCAACAAAGTCATATTTTTGATACAATATAAAACTGACAAGATATCTTTTAAAGCGCAAATCTGTCGGGTATAAAATTCATTTTTATTGTTATACTTTTGCTTTACAGGAACAGATAAGTGGCAAATTTATTCTATATATAAATAATATAGTGTGCTTATACGTGCTTTTGCGATCCGTGGTCAAATCGATAAATAAAAGAAGGTTTATTAAAGTGAAAGAGAAAGCGAAAAGAAAAATAGCGAAAAAGAAATAAAACAAGAAAAGAGTAGAAAAGTTCAGCTGAGAATAAATTATTAATTTCAAGCAGCAGGTGAAAAATCATAATTAATTCTTTTTTGCATTGCTTTTATATGGGCTCAGCTTAATGTTTCGGAACAAATTTAAATTGTGTATTAATTAAACAAAGAAAGCACAAAGATTCGTTATTACAAGTTAGAATTAAGTCTCGCTTTGTGGCTCAGATAGTTGTATATTTTCTGCTGATATTGAATCCATTGATAGGTCTTCTGCTAAGAAAGTTGGTTCACTGTATCGTGCAAGAAAATGTTTTCTCTCTTGAATCTATCTTACATATCTATAGGTCTACCATTCGTCCATGCTTAGAATATTTCTGCTACATATATTCCGGTGCACCTGCTATATATTTAGAGATTTTTGATAGAACTAAAGAATAATGAACAATATTATTAGTCTTGACCTGGTGTCTTGGCTTCAGTCACTTTCCAACTGCCGTAAAGTTGCTTCCCTGTGTCTTTTCTATAAATACTTTCATGATAAGTGTTCGGATGACCTCTTTGCTATGGTACACATTGGGGCTAGATTTTAAATTGTTGTTTTATTCCCCTCCCGCCACAGACAATGAATTGTACATGTGCAGTATGTTAGGACTTCATGGAGATTCTGGGCTATTATGGTGGATGAAGCCAGAATGATAAGTAAGAATGCGCTGTTAAGCTGTTAACGTTAAGACAGAAGAAAACCGTCCTTTTCCCCATTCTCCATTTTGGCCTTGTGCCAAATAAGCGGAATAAATATCGCTCTTTGCTATGGTACCAAGACTTTATGAAGTACTATGCGCAGATTAGCAAGAAGGTTTCATCAATTTACAATTGAATTCGCTAGTTGTAACCGTAAGTTCTATGCTGGCAGTTTCTTTTCCTGTACTTCTTGCTTGTTTGATGTTCAAAAATTTAAATGCAATGTTTAAATGCAATGCTATCTACTGTCTTCCTGATTACTCTTCTATTGTTCTTGCTCCTTAATAATGTTTCTGTTTTCTAATTTTACAGTCATTAACACCTTGTGTCTTAGTGTCTATACTGCCTTGCATGGGGTGAAATATATATATATATATATATATATATATATATATATATATATATATATATATATATATATATAAAGAAGAAGCGAAACAGGTTTCTACATAATCATAATCAATAAATGCTCATGATCAGTATATGATAAAAATATAGTTTTAATTTCCAGCCAACTTTGATCTTCAAAAATTTAAACGCAATGTCTTCCTGATTATTCTCCTATTGTTCTCACTCTTTCATAATGTTTCTGTTTTATTTTTAATTCTTCCATACCCAGTAACCCCTTGTGTCAGTGGATTTATTGCCTTGCATGGGGTGAATTAGATTTTTTTTTAAAATCATTAGTCGAGGTTCAGGTCGAATAAAAGCAGATTTTCAAGGTTGACCCCCACCTTATCTGGAATGGTTGGCGTAACAGTTTTCTTCATCGACCCGTCTATCCAGATTTGGTTCTTGTGCCTTATGAAGTCAAGCATAATAAATATCGATTATTATAAAACGAGTTGGTTCCACTGGACCATAGCCTAATGGATTAAGCGTTGGTTCGTTAATTTGGTGACATCGTAATTGTGAGTTTAGTCCCTGGGGGCGGGTAATGGAGACTTAGCTCAGTGGAAACGAGGCGAGCAGTTATAAAGCAGTACTAAATTAGGAGACGAGATGTTCCTAGGCATGGTCAGCGGAACAAGAACAGTTTATCACGTTGATTAAATAAAGGGTTCAGTTCGTAATTCCCTGAAGGTTACCTGGATCGACAAGCATCTGAAGAAGATCGGGCGCGGGGGGCTACAACGGCTGAAACGTGATAATGAAAATAAAGATAAGGATATTAGTCCTGGTGTAAATGATATAAATAAGAAGATAGTAAGGTTTTAATGACTTTGAATAGTGAATGCAGGCAAAATACCTCTATTTTTAAATTGGCGTAGCACCATTTGTCAGGTTTACGGTCATATCATCTCGAAATATCAATTCTCGTACGATCACCGAAGTTAAGCATGGTTAAACTTGGTCAGTACCTAGATAGGTGACTGCTAGGTAATACCAGGTGCTGTAAGCTTGGGTGTGCAGATCTTGTAATAGATAAATACTCGAAATTGGAAATCGGAGAACTGAGTTCGAATTCCAATCGGGTTTGTTATACTCACTTCGAAAATGTATGAATCCACTTCTTCTCCACCCAGCTATGGATTAAATAGTGAGAGGTGTACCGGAATATCATTATTATCTCAGAAAATTCTAACGATCTAAATATATGTTTAGGTTTTAAATAACCTAAAAAAGGTTGATAAGCTATAAAAAAAACAAATAAATCAACAATCTTTAAACTCCTTATTTGCACCTATTTAGCCTTGTGCAGTCTTAAAATAATCTCACTATTGCAATGATAAGGGTTGTTTAAAAATTCTCTATTTAACCAAGAAGGGATGCAGAAATGAATTCTGATGTTTGAACAGTTGATCTGATCTGGAGAAATGGGTCAAGACAAATAGCATTCCCTGTTAGAACTGAGTGGACGACTGTTTGTCAGGATATGTTATCGGAACTGCTCGACACAAGTTCTCTATATGACCTTTTCCCTCGTTGTCTAGAAGCTCTGGCTTTGTCGTTGTCAGTTTTCATAGTTGATAGACCTGAAGCCAATGAAAAGCATTGTTCTGTTAAGGCGAAGCAAAAAGCCCACTTTTCGAGTCTAAAATTAGGCTAGTTTGACACAAGACCACAAATGTGGATCCCCTAGTTAGAAACAAAATTGCCACCCTGTTAGTAATGGTTTACTAGGCTAGCTCACGAGACATTGTTCTCCAGTAAAGCTCATAATATAGCTTAGCTACTTCTTATATTCGACCACTGCATTTGGACACGCGTTGAGGATAGAGATTCAGAAAAATCAAAGGTGCTGAAAAGTTCTTGGTTCGATCATAAAGAATAGCGAACAAAAAATTTTTTATGTTTAATCAAATTTTGGAAATTGGGCCTAGACTTGAACTTTTCAGCACCCCGCTCATAGTAATGATCTTGAGCTTGCTAACCATTATTCTATCGTGAGTTATTCAATATAGGAATCTACTAAGCTTAGATTGCCTGGTACAAGATTGCAATTGTTGAGCACATGGTGAGGGTCAAACACAATGCGCCGTGTTTATTTAATTTTATTTTTATTTTATTTGTTTGTTTTTCGCTTTTACTTATTTTCCGGAATGAAACCAATAAGCCTTTTTTGCATATAAAAGTTTTAGAAGCTAACATTTCGAGAAAAAAAATAAAAGAAATTCTAGGTTTTATTTTGAAAATTAATGACCGTAAATATTTTACACAAAAGATGCAGCTCAGTTCAATAGCATTGTCATGAATTGATGTTAAAAAGCCAAATTTAATCTTCTGTTTAGTTCTCAAAAAAAAAAAAAAAAGAAAAGAGAAGGATGGAACCTCAAACCCCCTTTGTAGCGCCGTGGATGCATCCGCCTTCTCCTCATCATCATTGTCGTTGTCGTTTTCTTAGAGACTTGCCGACCATGGAACCGTTACAAATAACTTAGCGACCAGCTCTCTTCGTTCTGAAACTCTTCCATGCTGAAATATTCACCCCCTTATTCTTCCATGCTGAAATATTCACCCCCTTATTCTTCCATGCTGAAATATTCACCCCCTTATTCTTCCATGCTGGAATATTCACCCCCTTATCTGTTTCTATGTCTGCCCCTCCTTCTACCGCCTTACAACGTGTCTTGCAGGGTTGCCTTGGAATGTCCTACTGGTCACGATACTTGCATAAACCATTGCTATTTCGATCTCTTCACTGTGATTAGGACTTCTTTATATCACCTGATGACTTGTCTAGTTTTGTTCCTCACCTTTTTAACATACAATAATACATTGGTTTTGTTACTTTAAAAGTACATAATCGCTCATCCTTTCAACTTGTTCGATAGCTACGGTAGACTAAATCGATAATATTTTGTAGTATTCTGGGTGATTACTTCAATTTAAGAGGCACTAAGACACCAAATTCGAATCGTATGCCATTTTAAATGTCTTGACACTGAGTGACCTTTCTTAGCAGTAGCTGGCGAATGCAACAGCTGCCAAGAACTTAAGAGAAATCTACTTGACATGTGAGAAGAGAATCCAATCTATTGTTTGTAACGCTTGTTAATATATTCAGTATACAGACAGTTGTCTTATGGTCAATTCACGCTGAAATCACCGGTTTACTGAAGTTAATAAACGATTAGCTTGCTCAGTACTCAAATGAGAGCAACAGGTATCGTAAGCAACCTGTGAGCCATATGTGTTAGACGAAACAAAGCTGAGTAACCATGACACACAGCGCCCCATACTTGTTTTTGAAGTCTTCAGTTTGTAGCTCGGATTTTGGGCAGTGCCTCTTGCCAGCAACTGTACATTTTGTTTTCTTGCAATTGATGGTTCGCCTTTCCATTTTTCTTTAGAGTGGAACAAAATGGTAAATATGTTTTTCAATAAAATAAATGTTACACATTTAAAGAAAATTATCTTTTATGTACGAAACCAAACAAACGATTCACGTTATCAACATGCACGCACACATTTGCTAAATAAAAACATGATGATGATATATTTGCAAAAATCATGCAACATAGGGAAAATATATGAAAAGTATAATTACACATGAAAATTTTATTTACTAGTCATTTAATTCTTATATACGCTGTTCAAAATGTCCTCCATTTTCAAAACACATTTCAATTCTGTGCCGCCATGATTTTTAACACGTCGGAGAGTTTAATCTGTCATTTTACTGCATTCATATTTAATTCTTTCTTTATTGTGTGATAAATAACTGATTTCAAATGACATCACAAGAAAAAATCCAAGGGAATGAGGTCTGGTGACCTCGGTGGCTACTCAACAGGACATCTTCAACCTATAAAAGTACGTAATACCAATGGTTTAGTGATACAGACCTTATTAATTAACCTATAACTGTAGGTGTGAATATATGGATTCATAGCTCTCCAGGTTTGGGGGGCGGTATTTGCGCGTAAGTGAATATAACAAACTCAAAGGGAATTGGAACTCGACTCTCCGATTAACAATTCCGAGGCATTATTCATTATATCACCAGCACATCAAAGCTTACGGCACCTAGTATTTTGAAACGGTCACATATCTCGGTACTGACCAGGCTCGATGTTGCTTAACTTTGGTGATCGTAAGGGAATCAATCTTTCAACGTGATGTGGTCGTAAGCCAGAATGTCAGTCTGATGTAATGTAGTCTAACTATTAACAATCAAACTTTACCTGCAAGTAGAAAGTAGTAGACTGACCGCATATTTACCTTGATCGAAAGAAAACTTTTCGGTCATTTTAACCTTATAATCTGGTTGCCCATTTGACTGAAACCAGGTTGAACGTTGCTTAACCTTATAACAAAATGGTAGTCTGAGTTTCAACGTATTTCTTTTTATATATCTTTAATTTTTTTAAAGTCATTATCCGAATTTGAATAAGATTTACCCTGTAACTGGAGTAGAAATTTCAGTCATTCGCAGTTGAGCCATAGAATTTCAGTGACCTAAAATTCCTGTCATCCTTAGTTAATGGATTAAGATACTTGTTCAAAGCCTATATCGGCATGTTAGCTCAAACTCGAGTTTGAGCTAACATGCCAATATGGGCTTTGGATCAAGCTTACAGATTTAATACTCAGTATCTGCATCAAACCGATTATGACAGCCATCTTAAATCTTTGCTTTTTAAGTTGCCTAAAACTTCCGGTTCAGAAAGTTGATGATAAAACAAAAGAATTTACAAACGATTCAAATATGGTTTATTACATCAGCAGATATAATTAATATTAATTATGTGATGATGATAAAATGTAATTATATCAATTTTTTTCCATTCTACAATTCCTCTTTACACTTCAAAGCAAATGAATGATCGGAGATGTTTAACGGGAAAATATCTAATTGTCATATCATTAACTATCGATAATATGAAAATCAATAAGAATATGCTTTCATCTTCGTCGTTCATTGATTACACTTGTATAATTTCATTAATTATACGAGAGCTTTTGTTTTTATTCATTGTTTATGCTGGTATCTGAAGTATTTTTGTTGTTTCTTAAAAAGAATAAAATACAAACAGTGTTTTGTGACGTTGCCAGTGATTTCACGTACTGAATAATCTCAAAAATGTTCTTTGAAATTATTTTTCAATTTAAAGTACTTACTATATATATATATATATATATATATATATATATATATGTATGTATGTATGTATGTATATTGGATTAGATTAAGTGAAATCGGACAATGTTTTCAAAACTCATTTTATTTCTGTTCATCATGTTTTATGTGTTTGAAACGTATAAATTTCTAATTTTGTTTATAACTTTATAATTTTTTTCTAATTTTATTTTTATTCCCTTTCAGAACCCAATCTATAATAAATACACAAAAATGTATTTTTGTTGACCCTTTGGATTTCTTTGCATGGGGTTTCCTAAAAACAAACGGTTTATCGCCAAAAGATCAATAGTTTAGTTGAAATAACGCATTCGGTTACCAGTGCAAGAGGAGATAACTCCTGAAATGCTTCAAAATGGGTTTTAAATTTGCAGGGATACACACGGGACGCATGTTGAAAAATTTCATTAAAGTTTTGACGTAAGATTTATAAATCTATTTGTTTTGTATCATAATTAAATAATAAACATAAAATTGTGTTATTTTTTTTAAAAATTTGTCCGATTTAATTGAAATAGGTAGTTAATTCTGGGATAATATATATATATATATATATATATATATATATATATATATATGACTAACATGAGAATACCATAATACCAAATACAAATAGACTTTGTACGCAGTGCAACGGCAGAGAAGTATGATATCCTTACCTTCAGGTGTATATCCTTACCTCAAAGAGTGTCAGTGGTTGACTGCAACATATAAATAGGTTGTCAACCCAGCTGCACTCAGGTGTGCACACATGGAATAAACCGGATGAGAGGAAAATATATAAGCGTCGCCCGAGCGATAAGAAGGAGAAGAGAC